TGACGCTGTAGCCACTCGAATTTTCGCCACTCGCAGATAAGGGTCTTTATTTCATCAGGCAAGTGGTCTGGGCAAACTCAACTTCACGTGTTGTCGTGGCGGTGGGGTACGCCACAGTCAAAACTCCCCCGAATGCAGCAACAGCAACGTCAAGTAAGGTGGGCGTCCTGAGTAAAGCGGAAGAAATTGAAAAGATTTTACAAGAGCCTCGGGAAACTGAGCCCAGTCCGTAAAAGTTCTGGTATATAACCTCAGCAACTCCTTTTTGTCGCCAAAATTAAGCGGGACTAGAAGATGGTTCGAAGGGAGTTCGTAAAGAGCTTTGCCGTGGATATATGAATAATTTTCAAAACGGCGATATCTATTATGTCTGAAATCCCTGTTTTCGTCATGTGCTTTAAGTACTGTAGTCCTAAGACTCGCAGTCCACGCTCGTCAGTGTAAAATTCAAGGATTCAGTCATTCGAGTTATCGACGCGACTGTTCTGGGCGGGTTGCTTGCAGTTAAGGACCCTACATACAACAACTGAGGAACAATATTTAAAAAGGCCATCAAAATCTGAGGTAATAAGTGGTCTGTTGGGGGACTCGTAAGACAATTACTGACGTGGGTCCCCGACTGGTTAAGTGGAAAACTGGCTCAATGCCTTGCAGGGCTGGGAAAGATATCATAATGTGTTAAATGTTTCGTCTGATCAAAGTAGCTGCCCCTCTGCCGTCTCTATCAAGGCGTTCCCGACGGTACGTCGAAAAATTGCAGAGATTAAAGGGAATGCTGGGAAGATGAGTCTTACTAATAAACAGATCAATTCTTTCGCGTGGCATCAATTCTTGAAACTCTTGTTTCCTATGTAGAAAGCCATCTGCCTTCCAGAAAAGAAGACGGATATAAAGAAAGGCTTGTGGTCTAAAAACCATTGCAAACGGATTCCAGGCCCTGCCCCGTCTCTAATATTGATGACAGGTGTGTCGTCAATATTTGAAAGCAGTTGTTGAAGGTTGGTTGTGGTTGTCTGAAGAGTTGTCTTCTTGGCCAAGCGAGCGGCATAAAATATTGTCGGTGTTACATTAGTAGGGGTCTGTTTTTGAAGTGTTGATAGAGCTGTTTGATTGGGTGGTGTAGGTTTTCGGGGCTAATATTTGCAGCCATGATAATTGGCGGTGTGCGTCTCACCGCAATTAGCATAACTGGCAGGACTTTCTCGTACTTTCGCACTGTGCAGTCAAATGACCATCGCCAGATTTAACGCATCGGGGGGCTGTAGAGCAGAAAATTGCGCTGTGTCTAATTACCCGACAGCAGTGGCAAAGTTCGACTCGATTACTCTTTCGGAGGCTCTTCCACCCTAACCTGAATATAGAAAACCGTATTTAAATCCAACAGTTTTTGTCGAGCACACCTCGGTATATGAACTAACACCATCGGAAAAGGTCGCTTCGTGCGTTTCCCATCATCAGTATCCTCGCTGTGCCTTGCGTGCGTAAGTCTTCCTCGACGATTTGCCGTCGAGATCGCAATAGAATACGCGAACAAACTTTAAAGGCTTGTCTTCTGGCTGGTAATTGATAGATGAAATGAGGCAGCGCTTCATTACGCAGAAGCCTAGTGATGGCTCGTCACTCGTCTGCTTTTGCTGGAAATATTTATATCCTTGATGTGTATTTCCTAGGCTTCAAAATGCTGTCGACGCCGTTGGCTAACAGAAGTGATACAAAGTGATTCCACTTCTGTTTTACGCAGAGGACTAAAGGCGGATCTTATTATTACGCCTAAGTGAAGCAGCAGCGAGAGTTGGCTCGGAGTCGCTGGAGGTATTCCGGGTTTTGGGAGAAGTATTGCAAATCTCTAATTCAAAGCTAACTTAGTGCTCTCTATCAGACATATTCGTGTCTTTGTTACTATTACTAAAAAAAATTGAGTTTTTAGTGATATTACTAACAAGTTTACTGGTAGGATTGATACAGTCATTAAGGCCATTTGCACAAGTATTATTACTAAATTTATTACTACTACTACTTCCTTTTTTTACTGTATTATTATTATTACTATTATTAAAGTTGTTTTTATTAGTTTCGTTATCATTCTTTTTAGTGTTCTTTATTATAAAGCAATCCCTTCACTCCTCTTTCCAAGGCTCGTTAAATATTAAGAGAGCAGACTAAGGATTAGCATCATTAATTATAAGAAGAATTTTCTACCGGCTTTTTGCGTCTTTAAGCCTTGTTTTCTATAAGAGACTTTCAAAACCCTGTAAATTCAAATTAACAGCCTTCGGCTCTTTACGAAGCTCCTCAAGAGTAGCTAATAAATTTTCAATTGTCCTTCGTAAGTCGACTTCCAGAAAGAGGAGCTTATTTTATTAAAACAAACGAACAAAAACAAGCAGCAATCCTTTCCTCAAAATCAGAGTAAAAAGAAGGGACGAGCCAAAAAAACAAAACTTCACCTTTATGAAGTGAGCGTGCGCCCTATATAGACCTACGCATCTGTGGCCTGAACCTATGAAAAACCATTAACTTCACTCCTGCAGATACAATAAAATAAGTTCCTGACCTAATGACAATGCATCTTACTTCGTGCGCAATCACAAGTCACACGACGGCCTTGTTCTGGAATGGCTTAATATGCCTTTTTTTTAAATGCTGCTATTTTTTCTTTTGAAATGTGTTAATAGGCATTTAGAATACCAGTATCACGAACTTAAGAACTTAAGAACTCTTGATGAACGCCCGCTTGCAAATGCGCAGCGATACGCTCAAACGCACTCTTGCTTGTAAGCCTCCACACTTAAATGTATATAAAAAAAATAATAGTATGAGTTGGGGAAACTGTATATGAAGTAATTATCTAAGTTATTGGTAAACATTGCGGTCGATTTTACCTAGCATCTGCACAGAACATCATTAAAAATACCTGTAGAGAAATTACAACCGGAAAATCTATTTTATTATTTATAGTTGATTAACCACCTCGGTCGATCCAGCATTTTTAGGCTAGAAAGCTAGTAAAAAACAAAATTTACAACCCAATAATTATTTTCAAAAGTTAAATATTGAGCCTCTATTTGAGAGCTTTCTATAAAAATCCTTATTTTTAAGTATAAATGAAAAATGAAGTGCCGTTTTTAACAGAAGTCTTATATGTAATTTACCGACCGAAGAGGTGAGTTGCCACCGTAGCTCAGTAGTTAGAGCAGTGTCCCACAATCTCTATAGCGGTTCGATTCCCTTCGGTGTCAACTCGCATTTTCTGGTTAGGGTGGTTACGTGTACAGCTCCCCTATATACGAAATTCTGAAAGTCTCTCAAGACATATAATATACTGAGGAAGTATCACTAGCGACGGCGAGGCTAAGTTTTTCGGTTGGCGTTACACAAAAGATCAATTAACTTAATTTCACGTGCGCGCTAAAATAAGGCTAATTAAATTTCGCTTAATAAGTTTCTAAGTTTTAAATGAACGATAACGACCGCCTGCTAGGAAGCTATGTCGGTTGAATATACCACTTTTCTTTACTTTGAGCCAAAAACATCTTTTTTTCCTCTCTCTAATTTTTCGTAGAATTAAAGGTGTAATTCGTTACTTCTGGCCATTTTTAGAAGCTAATAACTAGCGGTCTTTTCTTATAGTTCTATAACCTACGAGTCTCTAAATTACCTAATGAAGCTAAATTTGAAGCCTCCAGGATCTTACTTTGTTTTTAACAGTAAATATACAAAAATTGCATTAGGTTCATAGCGGTGCCTGTTGATATAAATTATATATTAAAGATACAGGCGCGTAAATTTAGCTGTTTCCTTATATACTCATAGTTTTTATGGTAACTTGCTAGAGTAACCTCCTTTGGAGAAGAATAATGTACTAGAGGTCTCAACATTTACTATAAGAGAAATAAAAATTTGTAAAAAAAAAAAAAAAAAAGAAGAGTTATTTATGTAAATTGTCATGTAGTTGTGTTTTAAAGATTCCTCGATAACCAGTCTTGGAGGATTAAAACGCTAGTAAATTGCTATGATTCATTCATTTATTTAAAAAGGCTGTCTAAGGTAAATAATTAATGCCATTAGATATAAAAATTGTACGATAATTGCACTAGAGGGCCATATATACATACATTTACTCTTAATAAAAGATTTATGGGATTTTTTTCCTACTTCGCACTTCTCTGTCTTGTAGTTGTTCATTTTGGTCTGCAGGACTTAGTGATTGATTTTAACCTCAAGCCAAAACCAGACAAACAAAACAAAATAAACTCAATTAGTGATCTAAAGGGTCACTAATAACACGAAGTGTTATTTGTTAAAATAAATTGGTTTAGCACATAATCATAGTCTCCTTCGTCAGTTTTTCTAAGAAAGATTAGTTTGGGTATCAACGTCTTTAATGATGCCGGAACAAAAGTTTTCCCAAGCTGGAAACCTCTTCATAGGAATTTGCTAAAACGTCAAATTGTCATTTGTTTAATAATATAAATTGGTTCTAAAAATTAAGATTGGCGAGCTCTAGACAATGCCATGCTGTAACGTATTAGCTTGGAACTTAATCAGTTTATAACGCAATCAATATATAAAATTTCGTTTAATCCCTTTAAGAAAAGATTAGTTAAATTATCGAATGAGACGCCCTTGTTGCGTGTCTTTAGTATCTTTCTCATGAGCTTCATGTCTCTGAATATAAAAAAACTCCTAAAAATAACAATGTTTATATTATAGTCTTTGAATATGTCATTTTTAAAAATTAAATTTTTTTGCTGCTAAAGTAGCGGTTAATGTTGACAGTGCATTAGTCAGCTCAAAAAGAACTAAAAGTCAAATTGCCAATAAATGGCGTCATTAATTCGTGCGTCGCACCTTAATCTGTACCAGTTGCCATGCGTACTGTAATTCAATACGCGTAAAATATCCCCCTCTGTTTTTTTATTGGTCTTGAACCCCGGAAACTAATGTATTATAATCCACTATTAAATTTTATGATACGGTTATCAAGAAAAACTCAAGGCCCGATAGGAATGCGTCTGATGACCTTAAAGACTCCCGAAGAGCTCAACCTAACACTAAAATCACTAAAATAAAAACGTCGGCCGCGAGCCATCCTATTTATATAGCGTTTTGTCCTCGAGCAGTACATCGCCTTAAACATTACAAAAAAGAAATTTTCGGGAGAACTAAGGGAGGGGAATATTTAGATCGCAGTAGGATACACACAACCTTAATCCTTGTCTGGTTTTATTATGAGTGAGCAGCTTGCTCTCTAGGAGCTAATAGAGAGATGAATTTAACCTTTTCGTAGCGCGCGAATTAAAATCTTTTTAACTAAGTTAAAGGTAAAAATTTAGTTTTTTGAATAATAAATGCCTCAATTCTCACAAAAAAAAGATTGGGGATCAAATTAAGCAATTTAATAGAAATTTTATCGACTTCGTGGAGTCAAATCTGTAAGCAATTTGAATCTAACCGGGCTAAATCAGAGCTATGTTTTCTTTTTGAATTGCGCTGAATCCTTCAGAGGCATGTAAAGTTTATCATCTTTGTTAGGAATGATTTAAATTGGACTAGAGTTTGCAATTCTTTCATCGCCAAAACCACCTACTTTAAACTTTATTTGTAATGCTTCGAGCTTTTTACCTTTTCCTTTGCATTTCTCTTAGATTGTTGTTAGCTATTTTCAAATTAATATTCTATTAGCTTAATTTTTTTCTTCTATAATGTTAGTAAATTTCTCTCTACCCAAAGTTATTTGTAATTCTTTCTTCTGGTAGTTGGTAACTACAACATTGTTTCTGGCCAGTCTGATAGTTTTCCTACTTTCTTTTTTTTCAGATCTAAACGCACCCAGGGGACGCTATCGCAGTAAATGTGTTGTTATTAATGTCTATCTTGTCTTTTATTAAATTCTTGGATTTCTTATCCTTTTATAACAGCTTTTGGAGCGTATACTAACAATCGGACCGCTTGGTTTATTCAAGATTGCTTTAACCTGCTATGGGCCGTATACTTCCGTAAAATCTTACTACATCGAATGTTCTTATTATTCTACACGTATTGCTTTCTCTTCATTACATAAACAGGTTTGTTGAAAAAGGGCGTAATGTTTTTTACTTTTTGCTACATACTCGAATTATTTGGCTCTAAAAAAATTCCACAATCGATATATTTTTTCAGCAATACCGTTTTGTTTTTACTTTTTGTATAGTTTTAGCTTATTTAAAACATTAATTACTTTACATCAGCTTAGGACTATAATACACCCTTTTCCCTTAGTCAAAGCGAAAACTTCGCCCTTATTTACTATTACATTGACTTTTCTATATTGTTTGTTTAACGGGCTTTTACAGGTACTTTTTTGTTCTCTTTTTGTTTCTCTTCCGTAATATATATTTATATGTATGTTGTGTAAACTTAAGAGCTTATCTTTAACGAAATATTTCAGTTTTTGGGTGGCGATATTCGATTTTTATTCGGCACGATTTTCTTTATCTTAGCACTGCTAATTAATTTCCGGTCAGATAACTTTTTAATAAAATCGGTGGTGTACTTTTTTACTTTAGTTTTTTGTCTAACACTTTTTTAGTTTAGCGTAAACGTAAAAGTTCAGCTAACAGCATTCCAGAGGACAGCCTTTTTTTTTTCAGTACATCTCCGGTACTCTCCGGAGTATTTGCTACCACTATATAATAAGAACTTTTTTCGTTAAACTCTGGTGGCCTTAAGATCTTTTTTATGAGGATCAGTGTTGGAAACATTTTGTGATTTTGAAGAGGCCACAGCTGGCAGTGTCATATGATCGCACTCTCTTAAATAACCGAAAGTAGTTAACTTGACCCTAAATTAAGCGTTACAGTGTGCAATGCGCTTAACTGCAAAGCCTGTGCGGGGACTATTTATTTTTTTTTGATTGTAAGGAGTGTTTGCTTTAGTCGGGCTGTTGTCTCGCCTTATACACCACTTCATCAAAAGAAAAAAGGGCAAACTTCTCTGGCGAGATCTTTGAGTGAATCGGCTTCTCCTTGACCAGCTGCACACTCCCTGGTAGTTTTCTTCCTGCAATATTTTCTCCTTTTAAACGTTTATAGACTTACCAACGTGAGCCTTAGCTTTTGTCTTATTTACTTTTTGTAACTTAGCTCCCCGCGCCTGGCACCGTCACCAGTGGTATGACCTTCATATTATAATTATTCCTATGCAGCATACTGTGATCCACGCAGGTATTTGACTCATTTAGACCACTATCCCCGCAATTGCAAGACCATTATACCCTTAGTATGGCAGCTGAACTTTTTACGAGGAAATTGCGGCTTTGGATTGTTCTAAATAACCCTAACCTGATGGTGTAGAATATGACTCCGAACTTCAGTGAATATGCACGAAAGCTCTGTTTTATCTAAATAATGGATTATTTTTTTGCTCTGTATCGCTTAATAAATAACTTTTAACTAATATTTTGAGCTTGACAGGTCTTCGCTAATCTTACACCATTTAATGATCTTTCCTTTGAGCTGGTCAATAATTATTTAAAACAGTCATATTGTTTCCAGGGTAAAGCGGTACTGAGTGCTCTTAAATGTAATCTACTAGTAAAAAATTCTTAATGCGGTATGCTTCCTTTTTCTTCCTTTTCCTATCATCCTTAAATTATTTCTTGTTGCAGATATGTTTATAATGCCCACTTTATAAGAGGAGACAAAAATTACTTAACGTGTGCCATTAACACTAAAATAAAGCAATAACAATTGAAGATCAGTTATAAAATTTTTTAGATAATTTTCTTTAAAAATTTATTTAAAAGGCTTTAGTAAACAAGATTTACACCTCTTTTTAAGAATTCCGCCGTCTTCTAAGTAGAGATGAAAAACCCTTCAGTTATTAAAAAACCTAAATCGGGTCAAGTGGTAGACATTTTAGTTCGAAATAATTTTTAAAGTAGAGATTAGAAACGAAAATGCTCTTTATACGTTGCTCGCTGTTACCCTTAAAATACTTCGCAATTTAAAAGTCAAAGCATCTTCCATTCCGTTCCCAATCCCCATATCTTGTCGGTTCCGGCCCTTTAGGTCCGTCTACTTCACCGGTCTGTGGATTGACGTAGTATTCTAAGCTCCTTAACTTTGACTTGCTCTCGCTAGGTAAACATTCGGAGTACAAATTTTTATTTACTTCTGTATTTGTGGTAACCGCGTTTCTTAAAGAAGCATTCAGCTTGTAAAAGCAGTCAGAAACACGACTTATGACTACATAATTGAAATTTTTAACTTTCAAAACTGTCTTGCAAGAGAAAAACATTGAATTAAGGTACATCAAAGCACCACAGACTTTCGCTTTCACCCTACTGAGGGTCAAAAACTATATTTTGCGTTTATTTGGTTACTTGTATGCACTCCTGAAAAAATTCGAGGAACCGGAGCAATGAACTGCGCGCTCTACCATGCAAGTAAGCTATTGTCATTCTACACAATTTTCATCACTTTTTTTATTTATTATTAATAACATTTTGCGTTTCTCGGTAAGTCGAGATGTTTTGAAGTCAGAGTGACTTGGGTCCCAAACGGTTTTAATCTTATTAAGATAAATTGTTTTGTAGTGGAACAAAAAGAATAGCAAATTTCCTATTAAGAAATAACTGAAATATAAATTTTAATTTCATATAGATTCGCTAGCTAAAGCTTAATTATATTACATATAATATTAACAAAATGAGTTATTAAAATACATTAAAACTGTTAGATTGCCCACACACCAAAAAGTGGGCGCACAAAAGGAGTAGGAATTTATATATCCTTTCTTGCTCGTATTCTTTGTAAGATGATCTGACTTTCGTCAATTGTTTACGAGTTTGTTTAAGTACACTTCGCCTTAAATTTAGTACTAGGTCTTTAACCTTCCGACTGTTAAACACATTAGGAGGCATGAGGCAAAAGGTGGTTAAACTTTTTACTACTTGACCACCTAAAGCTACTAAAGGAATACTTGTATCCTTATGTTTATTCATCGTTCTACTTTAGTAGAACAAGGTAATTAGCATTTCTACATTGTTAGTTACCTTCTAGTAACGAATCTAGTTATAATCCAGAATAGCTTACAACTTTATGGCGAGTTAGCAAAGGGTTGCTAGTGGTCAGTAACGAAGGTTTCAAGACCTAAACAGTGGAAGGCTCGATAACTTCATTGAGGCGCTATTAATATTCCTCTTTAAGGTTACCTGACAATGGTGAAATTCTACTACGTTTCTATTTAAATTTCTACCCCAGTGGATAATCAACTACCACAACCACCAGCTCCTTACCAGGTAATTTACGGTCTCCTTATACATTTTTAAGAGCAAGGATTTTAACTAAACAATCGAGAGGACTTAGCATTTAGGAAAGAACCCCCTACTACTGCTTCGAAAGGTTAATCTAGTTGTCGTCTGAAATTGAGGTCAAGTAGCTCAGAAGTGAACATGAATAGGGCAAAGTACTGTAAGCAAAATGTGAAATGGAAACCCCAAGGGCGTAGATTAGTTTATGCAACCTAGTGCTGAATATCCGGCTTCCTAAGTAGAGAGTACTTGACGAGTTTGTAATACCTCCTTGCAGGATAAAAATTTACTATATCGGCTTTAATTTAAAATCTAGTATAATGTGACCTTTATCATTATTTTTTTTGCTGGACTACCTCTAGCTAAGTTCCTTAATATACGTATGGAACTTAATAGGTTGATGTTTTCCTACCGGTAAATTTAGGTGTGCTTTTACTTATGGTTGCCATGTGGGAGATAAGCTGAATTATCTCGTGGCCTAACTAGGCTAACTTGCTATTTTAACCTATGAAACTAACATCATCCCACTATCGCATTTGCTTTTAGCAATGATCTACGCTTCACTGAAAGTACTTCTAAATAAATAACTTATTTAATGTAATGATAAATAAAGAAACCAATACTAACTAAAAATCCTATGATGAGATTGGAATGGAGTCAATTTACTTCGTTTATCCTCTAGTCCTCGATACTATAAACAAGAAGGCAATATGTTAAGTGAACATGAAATCATGGTTAGGTTGACCGCTAGGGATGTGCTAGAGGAAGTAAGAAATAGTAGTAATTGGACAAGAGGATACTTTGCTATTAAACCTAGTAAATTACTTGATTTTTATCTGTAAAAATAGAGACACCCCCACCTAGCCTAATTCATGGGTGATTCTACCGCATTTAAGAGTAGGTACTCGAATATGGTGGTATTCCAACAAGGCTCTTATTAGTATCTATTTTTAAGACCTCTTCTAGCTTACCGCCATTGTTAAGAGTTTTTTTTTTCTCAACCTATAGAATCCTTTTTAAATTGCTAGGCAGTAAACATTAGGCAAGCAAGAACAAAACATCAAAGAAGCTATTATTAAAAAAACAAACAAAGAAACTTTAGTTTATGCTACAAGCGAGTTTTACAACCGTTAGCTGCTTTTCTAATTTCATTCTATTAAGTGAGGGTCTTGAAGCCACGACTTCCTAAACGATCCATTGCTCTAGCAACGAGAATGGATGCGCGTTATCTTCACCAGATAGTAGTATACATATTAAGAAAGAAGCAGTATCAATACAAAATAACAATAATGCATATTATATAAGCATAGTAAAATATTAATACCACTAAAATAAATTAGATAAACTAAAATATTTATCATATTATCCATCTAATAGGTTTAAGAAATGTTTTGGGTTTGAGTACTTAGTGTTCCAGCGAGAGTCATAATTAAGTCTCTATTATAATGACTACTGGCTCTTAGTAGGCCAGTTTTGCAAAATTTAATAAAAATAAGCTTGAATAAATCGAAGGTTGCACTCTCGATGCGGTTAATCGTTTTTTGTGCGCAAACCAAGGAACATCCACTACCACTATCAAGGTGCAATTTTGTAGTACTTGAAGTCGTTTTATATACGCTTGCTTGAGGTAAAGACCCAGGCAGTAGAGGCGTAGACCATCAGTGGAGGTATCGCTGATTTATATATTAAAAGCTGGTTTTATAAACACAATTTGCTTATCCTGCTTTTTATAGGATGTAAAACGGTTATACTTGTTAGATTTTGTGACGACGTAAGAAAGCTGCCGAGTCCAGCTTAGTTTGTTGTCGACTATAACCCCGAGGTATTTAACCTGGCCGTCTCGATGTTTAACTAATATGATAGGTATTTATGTTGTTGATAATTACATAGTACTTTAGGATGCTAATTCATTTATACCCAAATTAAAGAGAAAATTAAAAAATGATTTTTCAACAAAGTCCTTAGTACCATTATTAGACAACATAATGAATATATACACATGCGCCAAACACGAATTGAACAAAAGGCGAACGGTTCAACATTTACACAAAAAGGGTTAGAAAGCCCTGTTTGCTAATAATATCAAGTATGACCGCCTTATCGTATTAAAAAAAGATGTAAAGAAGGTATACTACAGTCTCATTGGTTTACTACATAATATAGCAGATTGCACTGGACTGGATATAGTATATGCTGTTAAATTCTAGATAAACTTATCATAGTAATGATGAATCACATATGACCGCTGCTAAAAGAGTTTTAGGTTTTTTTTATATATATGTTAATATGTTAATTAAAATTCCCATTCTCGCGTAGTGTTCAATTATAGCGCCTAAAAAGGTGATAACGAAGAATAACAAGAATTATATATCAACAGTTTTATTGCGTTGCTCGCCGGATATACAAACGAACACGCAGTGAATCAACTACCACACAAAAGGCCCGAACCTCGCGCAAGCTTCAACGCTCACAAGAAAAAGGTTTCTTAAGGGTATTTTACGGAAGCTATTTATACTTTATTAAACCGAGTGACATGCTAAGGTTATTTACCAACATTCGGGGACGTTAAAGAACATTCTACTAACATACATATTACACAAAGGACTAATATTTGGGGAAAAAAATTAAAAAACGGACAACGGAGAAGTAATGTGAATTGACTGCTATGCTAGTGCGTCATGTGCTGATAACGAGGGCTACCTTGACCCTATATAATCCTTACTACTTACAGAACTAAAGAACAAAAATCGTCTAGCAATGGGGGATGCACAGCAATGTATAATACTTTTGTTGAAACAATAGCAATAAAAACCTTATTGAAGAACTACTACCTAATTCAATACCAAGGTTACGTTTTTTGCGTTGCTCTCACAAAAGAATGAGACACGTAGACATAGCATACCACCACTTTAAAATTAAAGTACATTAAGCTGATATACCAAAACCTTCAATAAGGTTGATATTGCTACAAAACCTTTATCAAACTAAAACTCGAGAAATTACTATTTGATATTTTGAATTGTGCATTACTTTTTACTAAATGTATAATTAAATGAAGTTATAACAAGAAAAATTACTATAAAAGGTAATTAGTTTTTCGAAGTCGTTATTATAGTAAAATACTACGGAACTCTTACATTGGAATTAATTAAACCGAGCCTACCTGATGAAATCACTGTTTCTGCCCTTTCACGAAGGAAAGCACCAGGACCTGATGGAATTACTAACGAATGCCAAAAATACTGTCGCCGGTGGCGGTTAACTATCTCTCCTGTTTTGCTACTTCTACAACGCCGCTTGGCTCCTTCCCAACGAGATAGAAAACGCCACTGTGGTGATGCTATCTATGACACCGCGGTCTACAACGGACCATTAGCCTTCTTTCAGTGGTGGGCAAAACTGTGGAGGCACAGGTTGGAAGAGTTTTTAG